AGAGACAAGATTGTTGTGCGGACCAAGGAGAAAGCGGCCATAGCCGCGGAGCTCGGACATAGGGTTACCAAGAGAGAGAAAGGTGAAGTGAAGGCGAAGGAAGGAGGGTCGAAGGAGAGAGAAACCATAGCCAAGGAAGAAGAAAGGAGGGACGAGGGAGAAGAAGAAGGAAGACATAGCCGGGGTGAAGCGAGAAAGAAAGAGAAAGAAGGAAGGAGGGAGAAGGAGAATAAGGAGGTTGCCGAGGACGAAAAGGTGCCAACAGCCATAGCCGAATCAAGGGTTGACCAAGGTGTTGACCGAAGGGTTGACCAACGTTGACCAAGACTTTGACCGGAGAGTTGACCAACGAGTTGACAGGCATTCACCAAGGTGTTGACCGATGAGTTGACCAGGCGTTGACCACCGTTGACCGGGGCTGTTGACCACGAAATTGACCAAGCTGGAGTTGGTATATTCTCGCCAAGCCTTCAGCCTATCCCCTTGTCCTATGGATGTACACTCACCCCATGGTACTGGTTGAGTCTGTCTGTCTGTCTCTTCTTTCTGCATTGAGTCTCTTCTGTCCAGGTGATAGGAACTCTGTGTATGTGGTCATAGAGCTTTGTTGACCAAACCCACACGGGCTCAGTAGGGCTAAAGGCTGTGTTTGACGACTCGATTGACCCGGAGGACACGAACCCTCCCAAGGACCGGTACAGACCGGCGGGCTGCTCGGTGTGGCACAGTATCTCTGGGAGAAGAGGAAGAGGCCATGTTGTATGTTCCCCCTGAGGAAAAGGAAGCAGTAATCATGGAGTGGGAAGCAGAAAAGGACCCTTTGAGACGTCAGACTATAGAAGAGGAAAAAAACGTTACAGTGGAAGTTGTGTCTCACTAGGGAAAAGAAGAGGAGGATGGATGAGGCTAGTAAAATGGCGAGGGAGTTGGAGGTGATAAAGGCGCAGAGGGAGGAGATGCAGGCGCAAGCAGATATAGAAGGGAAATTAGATGTCATGTCAAGAAATATAGAACTCCTAGCCAGAGCCTAGGACGAGCAACATCAGTTTGCTCGAGCCCAAGACATCACTTTACACTCCATCCATCTCGGGTTTAGAGATTTTGCACGTGAGATGATGCTGCACATGGGTGCAGAAATGAAGGCGAGGATAGAAGGCATTGAGAAGTTTTGCACAGGCGCCATTGAGGGTGCAAAGCTGGCCACTCCAAAGGAGGAGGAAGTACGTCCCCGTAGGGAGCCCGTTAAGATCAAGTTTCCTGAACCCTACAGTGGGAAAAAGGAAGAAAATTTCGATAACTGGGAGGTGAACGTTAACACGTACGTCTATTCACAGCATATCGTGCCTGAGCAACAAGTCCTCATTGCCTTCCAGGCCCTCAAGGACGAAGCAGCCAGCTTCGCTAGATCGCTCGCCCGCGCTGCACAATGCGAGAACAATATGGTCGCCTATTCTAAGATCACCCCTCTCCCTGAGTTCTTTCGACTTTTTAAGGAGCAATTTGTAGAGATGTCACGCGAGGCGTCAGAGCCTCTGACAAACTGCAAACTATCCACTCATGCCAGTGGAGGAGTGCCAGAACACTCAAAGGCGTAATGGA